GGCTGAGCAGCCCAGCTGTCTCAGCCTTTCTTCATAGGAAAGATACTCCTTAGTGACCTTGTGCAAAACTCCAGTAAAGAGCTCCAGGTGGGTAGGTGGAAAGATGCCATTTCTAGAGGTGGTGCCCTCATTGCAGTGGCACAGGAGGTGGCATATCTTACTCTCCTCCATGAGGTAGCTGCCATGTAGGGCTAGGAAACAAGGTCCTGATGGTATGTTTGTGACAGTACCTCAGGCAAATCACAAAAAGGGCAAATGGAGTGGGTAAAAGGGCTGGCAACAGTAGCATCAAAAGGTTGAAAGACAAACAGTTGTTATACTATTATGTATTACATTGTGTTATGTGTAATTCACGTTACTAAAACAAAAAGCAATGGAATGCTTTGGTGCGGTTTTACACCACTGGCTTATTTTTCTCACAACTGCGTGAAAGTGGATCAGTTCATGAGCAAACACTTGTGCTTGGTGGCAAAGCTTGGAAGATGGCAAGTCTTAATGTGCAGCACTTAGGGAAGGAAGACAGGGTGAATAGCATTTATGTTTGAGGGCCTGGCTAAGCTGTGTGTGGCAGACCTGTGATACCTAGGATCAGTACATTTCCTGGAAGCTGGATTTGATCACAGGTGCTAAGGGTACCTCTGTGATTAATAATTTTGCCAGCTCAGATGACACCAGTATCACCCCAAGCCCCCCAGTGCAATTTGGGTTTTCAGCAGGAATGTGATCAGCACAAGAGCATATGCTGGTTGTGCATGTTTTTAAAATTACTACATTTATGGAGTGATTTGAGCTGTTTGGCAAGTGCTGCCCTGCACTTATCCTGAGGACAAAATCGGTTTCATCTGCACCCTGCTCAGCGTGCAGACTCACTAGGAGGTCAGGTATAAGGAAATGAGTGCCAGAGGAGTCAAAAGCAGAAAACCAAGACAAAATAAAACTCTGCAGCCTCCACAACAAAGAAACCAAAAAGCCCAACCTGGTAAGTTAAAGGCATTACTGAGTGCTTCCCTCTGGACCCTACTTAATGCAACTATTTCCCACAGAGGGCAAGTAAGGTGGTGCTTCACTGTAAGAAGAAGAGCCCTGTTTTAAGTGCCCAAAACACACGCATCATGCTACTAAATAGTGGACTGCTTGGTCCCAGCAGCTGCTCCAAACATGAGATGTAACTCTTCTAGTGCCTCCATCAGACTCATGTGAATGTGTCTCACCAAGCAGCTGAGGGATCATAAGTGGCTCTAGGTAGCTGCCATTGGATAACTGCGCTGCACCACTCTAATGGAGAGAGCTTCCTTCCACTTTGTAATGGAACTATGAATTATCAGTTATTATTATCTCATTGGAGCTGCAAATCATTAATTATTCCCAGTTTTTAGCTATCAGTATTTTTGATGCATTCAAGTAATAAGAACAGCATTTTTGGCAGCGACTTTTAACATTTGCTGTTTTCATGCCACAACACCTACTACATCCAGCTAGAAGCAGTTTGTCACCAGTTTCCTTATTGGCCAGCGGTATTCCTTATGTGATTTGCATTACTGTAAATGTGAACAGACTTAAAAAGGACGATTAAAGAGGGTTGTTTGGCAAACATTCCCTTTCTCTTTACGGGTGCTCTGCAAACACAGGAAAGGAGCAAAGTGCATAAAATGTGACAGTGGTGGACTCAGTCCATCTCTTATTTTTCTGTTTGAGTAGTGGTTCCACCTGGAAATCAGAATTAAATATGTGATATACCTGTACAACACCTCCCATCTAAGCTTAGACTTTTAAGTACTTAATTAGACCTTTCAGACTCCTGTAAGGCTGTATGTTCTCCCCTTTCTGGGTGGCTAAGATGGAGATGGGTGAATAATTTATAGGTCTGAGACATGGCTTGTCATCTGTTTTACTTGACTGCTAGCTTATGTAGCTGGCAAGAATAAACCTCCATTTATTACTTGCTGTTGTTCCTGAGGGAAATGTTACATAATCACAAAAAAAAAAAAAAAAGAAACAAACTCAAAACCAAACAAACCTTAGATCCATTTTAGGTGAAAGAACAAAATTATTAGCTATTGGAGCTTTAAAATTTGTATCTAAGAGAATTTTTCCGGTTTCTTTCAAGCTTCTGGAAGTGGTGTGTTTGGCTTTGAAGCAGATTTTGTTTGAGAAGGGTTAATAATTCAGTGGCTATTGAGGATACAATACAATCAGCCAGCTGATGTGCTTTGAAACCTCACTGTTTGAAGTGTGATGCAGAATTTGTCTCTCCCAGCCTTTTGTAGGATGGCTGATTGTGCTCATACCATTGCTTCTTCTGTTAGGTTTTTAGAAAAGGGGATCCCATGGGCTTTGTTTAGGTAACCCAAGATGACTACAGTTCTCAGTCCTGGATGCATTCACAGGCAAAAGGGGCATTATTCAGTGTCTTGCCACAGCCTGATGACCTCTGGAAGCCATATCTCTGGGCAGCTAACATCAACAAGGAGGAGTCTCAAGTTTGGAACAGGAGACATGAAAACTGCTTGCAGTCATATCTGTCCGCCAGGGTGTATCATGTCTAAAGGCCTGTGTGAGGCCCTTGGTTTGTAAACCATTCTTGTGCTCAAAGCCAAGAACATGGATTTTCACTTTTGTTTCTAATTACGTAGGATAAAACTGCTTTCTTAGGGTCTTTTCCTTAGTCTCACAAGATGTTTACAGGTCACTGACTTCACTGCTAACCCAACACATGAAAGAGAGAGCACAACCAGTTTAGGAACTCTTCAATATTCTCTCTACTCACATACTCTGATATTTCCTGCACGGTAATTCTTTGATGACAAAGTCAGAACATTTTCTGATTTTTAAAATCACTTTAGAGAAACAAATCTGTTTCAGCATTTCAGGGAGTTAAACATTACAATGCAAAGGGTGTTTATCCTTGTCCGTTCACAGAGATAATACACAACTTTGTAAATCCATAGTTACTGTGATTAGTGAAACGTCTACAACAAAATCCAAGCAAACAATTTTTGTCATGAGTCTTACAAAAGGATTCAAAAATTGTAAAGGATTTGCCTCAGTGGCTTGTAATTTGCCCGTAGTGCAGAAGTCCCTCAGTTAAATAATTTATCATTGTTCAATGCTTTTATGGTTGTATATATTGAAAAGAATTCAGAATGAAATTTTAAAAATAAATAGGAGTTGACATAAATTCAGTGCTAAAATTATTGGAACATAATTCAGCATCAGAGTGTAACCTATCCAGTGACTTTGGTGCAATTACATTGCTTAAAGTCAGTAACAAACAAGTCTGTTAAGGGCAAGAAGAGCCTCTTACAATAAACTTAATCCCAATGCTGTATAGCCATGTGTTATAACATTTGATCTTCCTGTGTATCATCTCTCTTATGAAGGGATCTTCATCTTGGATGGAATTATAAAATGCGTTACCTTTCTATTTCTTCTCTCTAAAGCAGCAGTGAATCAAGCAGTCCCAGCCAGTCCCCATTACAGCAGTAGAAACATACCTATCAACCACAGTGAGAGCCGGACTCTCTCCTGAATAACTGTATGAGCGATCAAAAGATACATATTATAGCAATGTACAGTTACACTGTGAGGAATTTTGCTTTCATTCCCTTCAAAGGCTTCAGGCATCTCAGGGAAACCAAGAAAAATCATGACTAACTCTTATGAGCATGCCTGAGTTTATCAAAGACCTCATCATCTGATACTGATTTCCGCTGCATATAAATAAATATATGAATAATTTATTTACTTCGTCTTTATAATCAAACAGTCCTGGGTTTTCTTCTGTCTTATTTGGCATAGTAGGAGTAGCCTCAGTCTGTGTTTCCGCCTGGGGCAAATAGCTCTTAATTGTGAATTCACATTAGTGCTTGTTCTTTGGGTTTGATGAACATGCAAGAAGGGGGTCCTGTTGTGCTAGGTAGGTCCTAGCCAGGGAGCTGTGCAACTCCTAGCCCTGATCAGCAGGCAGGCCAAGAGAATCAATGCAAAAGAATTGAAAGCAGTGAATTAGTGTGCTGAGGAAAAATATCATATTTACTCATTTTCAAAATTTGGGGTGGGATTCCATTAATGATGGAAGACTTGATAAAGCTGAGATAAAAACAAAGCACAGGGAGGCTGATAAAACCAGAGAAGAGGCAGAGGTAATGAACTGGGAGAGAAGAAATTGCAAGGAACAGAGGGTTAGAAAGGTCAGTGGGAACTGGACGAAGAAAATGGTGAAAATCTCCCACTGGCATCCCTGCTGCTGTGCCTAGTGAAGCAGCAGCTTCCCCTGCTCTGCTTGGCTTTGGTCTGCCTTAGGACCGTGGGTGATGCCTTACTAGCATTATTTGCGCTCCCTGAGACCACCTGGCTTGGGTAAGAGTAGTCCTTCTCCTGTCCGTGTATCGCAAAAGGGAGTCAGTTCCTGAACGGGAAGAACTGCTGTTTCACCTAAGTTGCTTCTGTCCCAGTTGATGAGGACTCCTCTGTGAGGGTGCTGTAGTCCTGGGTTATCTGTGTTACCTCAGGCTATTTGGAAAGTGCTCTGAAACAGCACATCCTTGTGATGAACAGAGGGTCAAAAGCAGAAGCAAATTCCAAAGCATTCCCCAACACAAATAACAACGAGGATCCGTAGCTCAGTTGTAACTCATTAGCAGAGCAATGGGATGAAGAACAGAGGAAGCATCACCGTGTGTGGTGTTTCTGTAGGGATCTTCCTGCTTGGACTCTGGTAGTCTTAGAGGAAAATGAGTGTATACTGTTGCTGAGGAAACAAGTCTCCCAGGGGAAGGTTGGCTTTTCCTGTGTGAGTTATTGCTGCCTCATGCTCACTCAAGTCAATTAACCTAAAACCTACAAACTGCACATGCCACGGCTCTGTGCAGTTATTATTAGGAACTTTATACAGTTGCATGTGGATTTAATCATAAACAGCCCAGGAATGGATTCAAGTTTATATTCCTCTTTAAATATTTGTATTCCTATAATGGAATATTCCCCATTTTTCTCTGTAGGTGCCAGCTTGCGTGATGACCTCAGTAAATACTTCTGGTTTCATCATTCTCAAGGGGACACAATGACAGTTCAGGATCCAAACCAGATGAATCTCTGTGCTGCTGTTTGGACTGTTGTCTCCTATGTAATTGCTGACATGGAGGAGATGTTGCCAAGGTAATAAAACAGCAAGAAAGAAGATTTCTGTTCTTCAGTAAAGATTGCAAGTCCATTAATGCATGTGGTCTACAGCTGTGGGAAATTCTGTTTTTCACCCTGGTTTTGTCTGTTATTATGTCTTTTTTCCTCAAAGCACATGCTCTTTTACACATTCCTGTTTCTTTTTGCTGTTTTGATGTCTTCCATTTGCGATTTTCACTTAAAATGTCTTCTTTTAGGTACTTTTAAATTTCTGGGGAAGGTATAACTCTTTGACAGTGATATAATAACTATATATATGCAAAGTGATCTTATGCAGCAGGAAAAATATACCAAATAAATTTGTTGCATCAGAATAATTAATGTATTGAGTTAGTATACACATTTGTGGTTTTGTTTTATTTCACTCTATGCATAAGAATGATGTAGTATTAATAAAAGTGGCCTTTCTTTTTACTCTCTTAAGATAATACTACAGTTTCTACACAGTTTCAGGTTATAAGAAAACTTAATCCTGGCTGTTTTAATGGTGATGTATGATAAAATGCTAAAATAATAGAGCTTTTAATAGTTCATTCAGCTCACGCTGTTAGATCTTACTAAAGGTTTCTTCATGTGAGACTCAGATAAACCAGGACATTGAGGACAGGAAGCCAACCTCAGGACTCCCAGATCTCCTGTGTTTCTTTGGGGACCTCCCTGTGGAAGGCTGTGCATGTCCTTTTCTTTCTAATGGAAGACTTGCCATTGTGACATGCAGAGAATCTCATATGACAGATTTTCTCTGAAATGCCATGATGTTTCAGAAACGGCATCACAGCTTTGATTTGTGACCTTCACTACCTGCCAGCTAACATCCGAACGCAGTGTGAAAGCAGATTTTGATTCAGGCTCCTGAAGCTATTCCCAGCTGCCCTTCTCTTGTGGGGATGCTTTCCCCTGCTAGAAGCCAGTTAGTCTGGGAACTTGATTCTTGTATACTTTGTTGGGTTTTGGGTTTTTTTCCTGCTCAAATATTATGAACATTCAGATGGGTTTCAGGGGTGTCTGTAGAGAAGATGTAAGTGGCATTGGGGAATATTTAAAGTGTATGATTTCATACAAACATAGAATAGTTAGGGTTGGAAAGGACTTTAAGATCATCTAGTTTCAATCCCCTGCCATGGGCAGGGACACCTCACACTAAACTGTACCATCCAAGGCTTCGTCCAACCTGGCCTTGAACACTGCCAGGGATGGAGCATTCACAGCCTCCATGGGCAACCCATTCCAGTGCCTCACCACCCTAACAGGAAAGAATTTCTTCCTTATAGCCAATCTAAACTTCCCCTGTTTAAGTTTTAGCCTTTTACCCCTTGTCCTGTCACTACAGTCCCTAATGAAGAGTCCCTCCCCAGCATCCCTATAGGCCCCCTTCAGATACTGGAAGGCTGCTATGAGGTCTCCATGCAACTTTCTCTTCTCCATGCTGAAGAGCCCCAACTTTCTCAGCCTATCTTCATACAGGAGGTGCTCCAGTCCCCTGATCATCCTCGTGGCCCTCCTCTGGATTTGTTTCAACAGTTCCATGTCCTTTTTATGTTGAGGACACCAGAACTGCACACAATACTCCAGGGGAGGTCTCACAAGAGCAGAGTAGAGGGGCAGGATCACCTCCTTCGACCTGCTGGTCATGCTCCTTTTGATGCAGCCCAGGATACGGTTGGCTTTCTGGGCTGTGAGCACACACTGAAGCTGGCTCATGTTCATTTTCTCATCAACCAGCACCCCCAAGTCCTTCTCCTCAGGGCTGCTCTGAATCTCATCTCTGCCCAACCTGTAGCTGTGCCTGGGATTGCTCCGACCCAGGTGTAGGACCTTGCACTTGGCATGGTTAAACTTCATGAGGTTGGCACCAGCCCACCTCACAAGTGTGTCAAGGTCCCTCTGGATGGCATTCCTTCCCTCCAGGGTATCAACCGAACCACACAGCTTGGTGTCATCTGCAAACTTGCTGAGGGCGCACTCAATCCCACGGTCCACGTCAGCGATGAAGATGTTAAACAAGACCGATCCCAACACCTATCCCTGAGGGACACCACTCATTACTGGTCTCCAGCTGGACATTGAGCCATTGACCACAACTGTTTGCATGCAGCCATCCAGCCAGTTCTTTATCCACTGAGTGGTTCACCTATCAAATTGATGTCTCTTCTCATTCCTTTGTGATGTGATCCTTGTTTGTGCTTTTAAATTTTACAGCAAGTAAACTTACTGATGTGAATAACTGCTGCACTATAATCAACACCAAACAACTATTGTAACAAACAACATGGAGTATTAAACCAAATGGCAGGCAGTCCCTGGTGCTGTTAATCAGTTCTGTAGCTGAAAAATAGCTGAGTGCCAAGCCATTCAGAAAATTAATGACCATGATATCTGTTTACCATGATAATAGCAGTTTTACATCTTATTTATTAAAAATTTCCATTTTCTCACCAAATCCTTTCAGGAACAGAAAAGCTGCCTGGAGATTCTCTGCACTTTCTTCTGAAACAAACAGTATTGAAATAAAGTTAGCAAAAATTTCCTCTGTTTTCAAGGCATTGTACCTATGCTTCTTTCTTGTGATTTGCTTGAAAAGAGCATTGCTGGTGGTGCTTACCACTGACAGATCCTCAGCTGTCTCTAAAGCCTTTGGACCTTCAGAGAATATTACTGACTTTTTCCTGAATGCAGTTCTCCTGCATAGGAGAAGAATGCTGCAGTATGCACACAGTGCCCCAGCACATCCTAATATGTGCTTGTAGGCTCCCAGACTACATCAGACATGTTGCAAAAATTAAGACCATGGTGCCCCTGAAAAAAATTTAACCTTCATGTCAACTTCAGATACACAACTCTAGAGAGAAACTTTGCAGCGTGGATTTTCAAAAAAACTGTTCAAAAATCAAAGTTGCCATCTTATTTTTATAAAATAGTGAAATTAAAATTATTTTAATTCTCAAATTGAAAAACAGGTATTTTTTTACACATAAAAATATTTCATTAAAATAAGACATTGTCTTTCTTATTCACCTGTTCTTTTTGTCTGATCTGTAATAGTTCTCATACCTACACGTTCAGCTGTTCACTGTGCTGTCCTGATAACCTCCCTATTCAGATGTACCTCTCTCCAAAATTTCCATAAATGAAGAGATGCTAATAAGCTTCTTTCCTTTCCCAGAGGAATTATGTACCTTCTGTGCAATAGTTCATCTTTATCCCTGCTCAGTGTAGCAATTATGCTGTTTTGGTGGCAATTAAGCATATATCAGTTGCTCAATATTCAATGGAAGAGCACTTCTGAAGTGATCCAGGTAAGCCAATATAACTTTACTTTCTACTGGTATGCCACCTTTGAACTTTGAGAATACTCTCAACTTCAGTTCAGAAAGTAATAGCTGAGGATGTTATTTATATTACTCTTACTGTTAAGATCAGCTGCCATAAATCTGTGCTTTTCAGAAGTATTTTGATGACATTCTATGATAAAGAGACCATGTGTACATTTCCCTCTGATAAAATAACACACTGTCAGCTCTGGAGTAGATTGCTTTTTACCTGCAAATATCTCTGAGCTGAGAGTTGAAAAAACAGCAGTAGTATTTAAATATATGTCAAAAATTTAAATTTCAAATAAATACTTTCCACAAGATATTACAAATCTCTTGCATCTGCTGAGAAGGGAGGCCCCTGGGTAGCCTTCCTTTCTGCTGCAACTCAAAGCTTTCAGACATAGTTACAGAGGGATGAGGCCAATACATAATTCATTTACCTGACTAGACTATAGCACAAATGCTAAAGAAAAGTCTCTTTTCAGAACTGCATAAAGTAACAGGTGATTTTGCAAGTAATAAAAAAATTGCAGGATAGGAAACTGAGGTAGTGCTTTTGTCCTTTGTATATCAAGGCATCACTGGAATTTCACTGCCTGTTTGAACGGTTCGGTTCTATGTGGTCCAGTGAGATTTTTACTTCCCTTAAAGTAATTAAAAACGAGGAATGAGAGCTATTTCCAGGAACGAGAGATGAAATGGTTCTTCTTGCTGCTGCACTGCAAACAGCCTTGGCTGTATATTTAGTTAGTATGCTTCCCCCATAACGATTTGAGACACTTCCATTTACCATAAGTAAATATCAAACTGATCTTGATGTCTGTATCTGTCTCATGAAATATACATACCATCTAAATGTGCCCGAATGATTAATTTACTGCTGTGTAATGATTAGCATAAAAATCTCATCACTGCACAGGATAGAAATGTTACCACTAATTACTGGTTGAAGTGAACAATGTTTTCTGCATAGAAATTAATGATGCATGCATCACAGCCCTTGAATGGCAAAAATCAAGACTTTCTGGAAGAGAGGCATCTTTATTCTTTTTCTTTTTCTTCTCTTTTCTGCTAAGTGATAGGAGTGCCTGATCATATATAATAGAAAGGAATACTCTGTGCACAGACCATTTTATCTTTGCACCACACTTACAGAAATGTTTTCACTTATGCCTTTTGTAAACTTCTGTCTACAGCAAATGTATGGAAGCACTGTCTGTAGAAACACTGGAGTATTTCATGGCCATTATTGTGATTTGTAGTTACAATTGTTTGCATTGTGCTAGCACCTGATAAAGGCCTTTAAGTGCCTTCCTTTTTGGTAATCCCCTGTCCTTGGAAGAGGGACCTCAATGACAACTTTATACCTAGCTGTGGGTTTAGCTTTCAGTTTGATTTCACTTCTGGATTCATCAACCTCCTTTAGTCTTTCTGCTTTCTGGTCTTTTTTCAGACTTTCACTGTCTTTCTCAGCATCTGTACTGTTATATGAATATTAGGAATGACTAACTGACTGAAAAATAATCTGTTTATTTTGTGCCCTGGGGCTCTGGAACTGCAAGACACAATAGAGATGACTCTGAATAGCAACATGGCAGGAGCTCCACCAGGGCCACCACTTGCCATTGTCACTAGCCTGTGCCACTGGCAGACAGAGCTTTGTGATCAGTGCAGTGAGTTTTCATCACCAGTAATAGTTTTTTATATAACTACATGAAAATCAAGCTTATGGAAACCAAAGAGGGAAGCTCTGGAGGAGGCATCAGAAAAATAAGAGCAAGGTAACACTGAGGGAGGGGCCATGTCTTCAAGTACCAATGTTTTACTCTGCTTTGCTGGGCGAGTTGGGGATCTCTACCTAAACCTACCTCTGTTTCACTGTTAAATGCTGGTAGTGGTGTTTGTTTGGTGTTTGTGTTTGGTGTAGCCGGATTTAACAACACTGTGTTAAAATACATGATGCACGTAAAATTTAAGTCCCTAGCAGAGGTGAGGTTCAATTGGAGG